TTGCATTGAATCTGCTGTGAATTCACAGCCAGGAAACTGGGTGGGCGAAGTGTAAATGAGGGGGTTAATGAGTGAGCCTCAGTGCAAGATGCGTACTCTCTTAGCTGGCGATGTTAAGCATCTTTTTGTGTGTTTGTTGACCAAATATTTTGGAGAAATATTTTCATTTTTAAATTGGCATTTTTATGGTGGAGTTAAAAGCGTTTTTATATGTTTGGGATACCAGCTCTCACTAGATAGATGGTTAGCAAATATGTTTTTCTGTGGGCCTTTTTTTTTTTTTTTTGGTTTTTAACCAGCTAGTGTCCTCGAAGTCCAAAAGCTTTTTTTTTTTCTTTCTTTCTTTCTTTTTTTTTTTTGTAGTTCAGGCCAGCCTTAAACTCGCTGTGTCACCTAGGGTGGTCTCAAATTCATAGTGATCCTCCTGCCTCAGCTTCCCAAGTGCCGGGCTCACCAGGCATATGCCACCATCTCTGGCCAAACTCTTTTTTTTGTTGTTGTTTTGGTTTTTGTACAGGGAATTGAACTCAGGACCTTGTGCTTGCCGGCAGGTGCTGTGTCTCTGAGCTAAGCTATATCCCAGCCCTAGCCAAACTCGTTAAGCTGGGCCTGGTGGAACACACCTGTAAGTATAGGACTCGGAAGGCTGGGGCAGCTGTATTACTGCAAGTTCAAGGCCAACCTGAACTATACAGTGAGACCCTGCCTCAAAAAAAAATTTTTTTTTAAAGTTTTAATTTTGATGAAATCTAATTTGCCTTTTTTCTTTTGCTACTTATGCTTTTAGTGTCATATCCAAGAAGTCATTGCCCAATCCAAAGTCATGAAGATTTAAGCCAGTGTTTTCTTATGTCTTATTATTTTAGTTGTATTTCAATCCTTTTTGGCCTTGAACTTGCTTTGTAACCCAGGCTGGCCTTAAAATCATGCCAATCCTCCTGCCTCAGCCTCCTAAGTGTTTTAATCCTTGAGTTTTTTTTTTCTCGATTGGTTTTTGAGTTTTGTTTTTTTTTTTTTTAAATGGTGTGAAGTAGGGGATGTACATTCCTTTGCCTGTGGTTATCCACTTGTCCTTGCATTGTATATTGAAAAGACCATTCCTTTGCCTACTGGACTGTCATGGTGCACTTCCTGAAATTTTGAGGGTCAAAATGAATTCATTTCTGGGCTTTCGGTTCTGTCTCGTTGATCTGTGTGTTTCTATGTCAGTATCACATCTTGTGTAGACTACCTTTGTAGTAAGTTTGGAAATCAGGAAGCTTGAGCCTTCCACTTTGTACTTTCTTTTTTGGCGGTGCAGGTACAAGGTAACTGCACGCACGCCTGAGCTACACTGGGCCTCAACATGGTTATTATTGTTGTTCTTTTTTTATACTTTTTTTTTTTTTTTTAAATATAGCTTTAGCAGGGTCCCTTTCATTTTCATATGAGTTTGGGATGAGTGGCATCAATTTCTGCAAAATCCCAGGATTTTGACAGACGTAATATTATATCTGTAGATCACTTTTTTTTTGGTCTTTCTGACACAGGATCTCGCTATGCAGTTCAGGCTGGCCTTGAGCTTACTTTGTAGCCCAGACTTGTCTTGAACTCTCAATGATCCTCCTGCCTCAGCCTCCCGGGTGCTGGGATTATAGACGTGCGCCACCATGCCCGGATCTGTATATCACTTTGAGGTGTGTAGTTGTTTTGTCTTCTACTCCATAAATGCAAGGTGTCCTTTCATTAATCTAAGTAATTCAAAGCCCAGTATTTCAGACATGAGAGACTGAGGAAGTTCTGTCCATGACTTTTCTGGAAGGTAGAACCTAGTAGATGGGAGGGCTCAGTAAATACTGATAGAATGAGCCTGTGAGTGGGTGAGTAATATTTCCTGTAAGGGAGATGCTTTGAGTTGCTTGTGGAGAAGAGGTGTTCGAATACTAAGGTCTGGAGTTCTAAGGAGTGCACAGATGGCCCAAGGTTTTGTGTGTGTGTGTGCGCCAGGAATGGAACTCAGGACCTCGTGCTTGCTGGGTAAGTGCTTGTGCCACTGAGCTATGTCCTGGCCCCTGGTCCAGGTTTTTAAAACTTTATAATGCACCTAGGATGTGGATTCTGGGTTGAGATCAACAGGTGGACCTGGGTTTGTCCGTCCTGTCTGTGGATGCCCTCATTCTCTTTGTTAGGCCGAGGGAGTTCAGAACTGGTATCTGAAACTTTGGTAGCACACGAAAGACTTTAGGACAGAAGCTTCATGGCCAGGTGAGATGATGCTCTTTTGTCCCTTGGCGTCATCTTGTCTGTAGCCCACCATCACAGGGCTTCCTGGCTGGTCCTTGAGGCACCTGGTTGACTTTTTAACAGCACCTCCCCTGTCCGTCACCTGTTGATTTTCTTCAGTGCTGATCTTTAGGGTCCTGGTTCTTAGTGCTCTCAATGTTTTCCTGAGATGCCAACCGCTGGTGACCACAGCGAAAAGCTTCTCCAGCTTGATTTGTCCGCCAGGTAGAGAGGGCAAGAATTGAGGTCTTTGGAAAAACAGTTTCATTCTAGGCATTAGCTGTCATCTGCTCTGTCGTTTTCCAGAGTGTCTCAGCAGCCACTGAGATCCAGGTCAGAACTGTTTTTTGGTTTGGAATGTGCTTTGGAAGACAAGGGAAGGTGAGCTCCTTGGGCCTCTCTGGCCCTCCGTACCTGACATTCTTTGGCCTCCCGGGATCTGTTCAGGTTTTCACACAAGAAGCTGGGCTCCGAGCTGTGGTTTTGAGTCTTTTCTTGGAGAGAACTGTGTGCTGCCCTCTCAGCACCAACTCGAGGCCCTCGGAAGCTGCCCCACAGTGCTGGCCTTCTCCTGGGGTTGAGGGAGTTGGTAACGGACACGCACTCTTCCTGGAAAAGAAGCGGAAGGTGCTGTGGGCCAGGGCAGGATGCAGTGTCCCGGATGCTGCTTCTCTGCAGGAGCCGTGTTCTGTGCGCCTTTCATCACCCCTTTCATGCTGCAGGCCGCAGGGCTGTACCTGGACCCCTCTGGGGCTGGCACCCTGCTTCGTGTGCACATGTGCAGCTCAGAGTGTGGCTTTGGAGCTGCACCTCTGCTGCTGGCTCTGATCATGAGGGAGAAAGGTGACCTCCAGCTTTGGTTTCCTCATCTGAAAAACAGGAGCATAAGGCAGCGTACAGGGTTATAGCTGGGGGATGAGGTAACGTGTCACGCGATGATCTTGGGGCCTGCGTACAGGGTTCTCATGAGATACTCACCATTGCTCGCTGCTGCTTGGCATTCTTCGCTGTTCCTTGGGCAGCTGCTAAGTTTGCAGGTCCACAGTCCTTTGCGCATTGTTCTCAAACCCCGAAAGCTCTGGAAACGGTCTGTGTCATCCTCCTCATTTGGCAGCAGACCTGACTTGGTGGGACAGACACGTGGCTGACACGTTGCGCTGGAAGTGTGAGAGTGGTGGAAGCATTCGTGTGTGAGACGGGGCAGCTGTAAGGACAGTGGGAGAGGCCGGGGCACCCTCCGCTGCTTACAGGAAGAGAGACTTCCATGGGCATGCTCCTTCCCCACGCAGCTGCTGGGTGATGGCTGGGTGGCCCGTGGGTGCCCTGCTCTCCCTTGTCCTGCCTCATGACAGGCCCCTGGCTGCAGAAGTGAGGGAAGGCGTGGCCGGCAGAGTCCCAGGCAGGGCAGGGGAGGGTCGGGATGAATGGGCCAGAAGAGCCGAGCAAGAGCGGTTTGGAGCAAGTTGAGGAGGGTGGAAGGGCAGAGCAGCTGTGCTTCCTCGGGTGAGCGCGTGGGCCTGCGGAGGCCCGGCAGCTTCTCAGGGCGCTTAGAGCTGCTGAGAAGTGAGGCCGAAGGACCCGCCTAGGTGTCAGTAGAGGGGACAGGCTGTGTGTGATGAGCGGCTCCCTGCAGGGACCACTCACTACGGAAGGAAATTGGTGGCCAAAAGGCTGTGTCCCGGAGAGAGCTGGGCTGCTTTTGTTTCTCACACGGTTGGATGTTCCAGGAGGCCCCTGGGGTGTCGGGGCTGTGCCCTTGTGGAAGGGGCCCCTGGAAGGAGGGCCCTCTTCACTGGTGGGGTGCTCAGCGCAGTTCTGCAGGCACTAGAGCCAACAGAGGGTGGGTGTCCTGTCCACGAGGGAGCTGGTGCAGTGGTACCTTGCATCCCAGGTTTGCAGGAGGAACCGTGGCCATCTCATTTGACAGTCAACATTTCGAGCCGCTTTGTGTTGACCTCTGCTCTCTGCTTTCTTCAGGGTACGGGGAGAATGGCACTTGAAGCCCGTTTGGAGGCTAGGAGCCCTGCAGGGTACCGTCCTGCTCTCCCCAGGGCTCCTGGGTGCCAGGCAGTGGGGTGTGAGAGCCCGTGAGGCCCGCCTTTGTGTCCTGTCTCAGAGGGACCAGCTGCAGGCAGATGCTAGGCTCGCCTGCAGTGGAGCCCGAGCCCAGTGAGGTGGGCGGGAGGGCTTCCAGACCTGGTCCTGCGGGGTGCCTGGCTCAGCCCCTGGGCCTGTCCGGGGGTAGGGGCCTGCTGCTGGCAGAGGCAGGGTGCGCCCCGAGGCCCTGTCTGACGGGGCTTAAGATAACTGCTTATCCTCCCTCTCCAGTCCTGGAGCAGAAGTGTGAAGTCCGGGGGCAGCCGCAGACTAAGCTGGCTCCCTGGTCTCTCACTGAGGACCTGGGCAGTCTCAGTGCCTGCCCCCTCCTCAGGCATCGCCCATGACCCTTGGTTTCTTGGTACGGGAGTGGGCGCCCCTGTGGCCATTTCTGTGTTCACTGCTGTCCTTTTGGGGGTCGGCCTGTGTCTTGACAGCCCCCATTTAGAAGGACCCCAGTGTGCCAACGGAGGTCCATCTGAGCGACCTCCCACAGACTAACAACCTCTGGAGAGCCCGACTCTAGCACGTTTCTGTGGTACCAGGCTTAGGGCTTCAGCACCTCTTTCTGGGGGGCACAGCTGTCCAGGGGGCCGGGCACCCTGCGGCCTCCCCTTTCACCGTTGTCCTTTTCTCTGCAGAACCGGGCAGTGGGTCGGCCCAAGGGCAAGCTGGGCCCGGCCTCTGCAGTGAAATTGGCCGCCAACCGAACGACGGCAGGAGCTCGCCGGCGCCGGACGCGATGCCGCAAGTGCGAGGCGTGTCTGCGGACAGAGTGCGGAGAGTGCCACTTCTGCAAGGACATGAAGAAGTTCGGGGGCCCCGGCCGGATGAAGCAGAGCTGCATCATGCGGCAGTGCATTGCGGTGAGCGCGCCTGCACAGCCCAGCCGTGCTTGCCTGGTGGGGGCGTCAGTGCTTTTCTGAGACTGTCCCTGCCACGTGTCCCAGTCTGGTGGCCTCTCAGCACCTCCCTTCTTGTTGTGGCCAAGTACTTTGAAGTCCCCTCGTTAAAGGTGTCAGGGTAGCCTGTCCTGTGTTTGACCCCATAGCTAACATTTACAGTCCATTTCGTGAGGGCTCTGGGTCCTTTCCCTCTGGTCCACCTTCCTCCGGGTCAGAAGTCTGGGTGAAAGGTCAGTGACCCTCCTCATGGGGGCTGCCCCAGACAGAGAGGCATGATAGTGGGTCCGAGGAGCTGTGTGTCTCCACCTCAGCAGGCCACTGGCCTTGCCTCCGGATCGGGCACCTTGGCACAGTCCCTCTTCCACACAGCCACACGCGCATTGCTGTCCCTGGGGCCCAGTGGGCGTCCTTGTGGGAGTGGTCGTTCCCCAGTCCCCCTGGAAAAGCTGGCTCAGCGGGAGGGATAAGATTCCTGGGCCCTGGCGAGCTCCTGCAGGCCCTCCTGGCATGGGATGGGCCCTTTCCTCCTGGCTGATGTTGACGCTCCTCCAAGCCCAGTGGCACCTTCCCCTTCTCCCTGCAAACACGCTTGCTGGTGTCTTTCGTTAACTTATGATTTTAAAAAACACACACATCCTGTAAAACTTACTGTCTTAACCATTTTCAGGTTTGTAGTACAGTAGTGTTAACTCTACGCGTGTGATTGTGTAGCTGGGTGCTAAAACTTTCATCTTGCAAAATCAAAACTCTAGCCCAGGTATGGTGGTACACACCTGCAGTCCCAGCACTCAGGAGGCTGCGGCAGGAAGATTGCTGCCAGCCTGGGCTACACAGTGAGTTTAGGGCCAGCCTGAACTGCATAGTGAAACCCTGTCTCAAAAACAAACAAATAAATAAAAACTGTATACTCACTGAACAACTCCTCCCCTTTTCCTTCCATCCGACCCTTGGCAACCAGTCCATTTTCTGTTCCCAAGAGCTAACTCGGCACCTCATGTAAGTGGAATCACTCCTGTTTGTTTTCTCTGACTGGCTTAATATCCTCAAGCTTTATCTATGTCGGAGCACATGACAGGTATTTTTTTTCTCTTGGCGCTGGGGATTGAAGCCAAGGCCTTTGCACTGAGTTACATTCCCTCCCCCTCTTTTTTCATTTTGAGACAGGGTCTCACTAAGGCCTAGGCTTGGCTTGGGCTTTCTGTCCTGGCTCAGCCTCCCACAGTGCTTGGGATTACAGGCAAGTGCCATTATGCCCAGGTGACAGTTCTGTTCTGTGCTTTTCTTTCTTTGTTTTTGTTTTTGTTTTTTTGAGACAGGGTCTCACTGTGTAGTTCTCGCTGGCCTTGAACTCACTGTGTAGCCAAGCTAGCCTTGAGCTCAGGCAGGCATTCTGCCGTAGCCTCCCACGAGCTGGGATTACACGTGTATATCGCCATGCCTGGCTAAATTAGATTTATTTTTTTAAAACAGGTCTCACTGTGTAGTTTAGGCTGATCTTGCACTCACTGTGTAACCCATGCTGGCCTTGCACTTGTGGTGATCCTCTTACCTCAACCTCCCGAGTGTTAGAACTACAGTCATATGCCACCATAGCCAGTATTTGATTGATTTGATTTAATTTGATTGATTGATGGATTGAGACAGGGTCTAGCTATGTAGTTCAGGCTGGCCTTGAACTCACACTGTACCACAGGCTGGCCTCAAATTTTCAGTGGTCCTCCTGACTCAGCTTCCCAGGTGCTAGGATTACAGGTATTGCCACGATGCCCAGCTCTGTCTGTTTCTAATAGTGATAGTCCTGGTATTGTGAGGTGTCATCATATTGTGCTTTTTTTTTTTTTTTTTTT